TGTACTCCTCGTTATGCAGTTGTTTCAAGCCTCCTAACTCTTCATTCCTGTTCGGTGCAAATATTCTTCTAAGGACAATGTTCTCAAACCCCCTCAATCTGTGTTCTGCACTTAACGTCAGAGACAAGGTTTCTCACTAACTCAAAACAAGTAAAAATAAAATTAAATAGAAGGTTTCTTTAAAGAAATATTAGGATGGAAGTGGTTAAGCAAATTAATCATAGCAATTTCCGATGCATTACATTAAAATAAATTATCCAAAGGTACATCGATAATATGCAATATTATTCGGGTATACTATTAAAGTTTCCTTGTAAAACTAACTGGCAGCACAGTCGGTAACTTCGCGGAAAAGCACCACGTCCTAAACCGGTTCTCGTCACCCGCTCGACGATCAGCCATTCTCTGCTCCAACCAATTAAATGTTAGAAAAGTTGTATTTGCTTGAACAGCTTAAGATTTTTACAGATCGACCACTGCCATCTATCAATTGGAGCAATACGGGCTGCCTTTCGTAACAATGGATGCGCCAAGTTAATGTATCACTCTGCGAAACAGCTATTGCTCCAGACCTTTGCGTTCTGTGTTCATTCTCCAGCAGTGAGACTACGTTTCGTCCAGTCCTCAAAACTGTCTCCATTATTTCTGCTACCTCATAACTGTAGGTTACTTCTAGCGAGTTTAAAGTCAAGAAACAACAAAGAATTAATTAAAACAAGCGCAGGTGTTCATGTTGTGACGCTCCTATCTGTACTTACATTGACAGTTTGGTTATCCTGCACACTCTGAACCTGTCTCCATGCCTGCTAGCAGCCTGGCGAGCAAAGCATTCATCCTTCGTCCAGGTTCCTTGCGTTCATGTTATATCCTGTTCCTTCTTTCATATAAATACATTAGCACATAATATAGATTACTCCGAGACAAGGGATCAGTCCTTCCACTGCAAGTTCTGAGTCCCGCTAACATGCACACTGCCAGCCCAGCTTACACATCACTTCTCGCCAGCTAGCCAACAGCAACAGTAGGATGTAGCGGTTCGACTGCATGGTGGAGGGGACTAGGCAGAGGGGGAGTACGAGTTTCAAAAGGGCACTAGGAAGGAGTAGCCACAGCATGCAAGGCCATCTATCCAACTCCGAGAACACGTCAAGAATACAGGGGTATTAACCTTCTGTTCCATGAGGATTCCAACGTGAGGGGTGCTGTATCATGTGCGGACGAGGTTATTCCATCAAGGGCAGTAATGTTAAGACGTCGAAGGTATTTCACGGTTTCTTTAACACTTAAGTAAAAAAAAAAAGTCTTGCATCGGTATTATGATGAAAATCTAATCTTCATTGGCATTTAAAGGATTTGATGTGACGATCTACGATATTTTTCTTCCCAAAACGAAACAAATGTTTGTGTTCGGTA